GCATTACATTAGGTTATTACAATGTTAAGCAGCTGTATTGTAATCCATCAACCGATGGCAGACAGAAATCAACTACGTACGTATATTAACACTTGTTCGAAGCTTATTAAAAATAATTTGCCTTGTTTTTATTTTTTCATCGTTTCTTTTGTTGATGCTCTTTTTCAATTCAACGCATGCGAATCGACAATCAGGGGAAAAAGATAGAAAAAAGGAATGGATGGAAGGAAACGTTTAATTATACTATATTTGCAATTAATATTTGAATTAAAAGATTGAGTAGATGTGATAAATATGATCCAATTATTTCTGCCTAGAACTGCACAGTATTAAAAATTGTTTTGATTCAACATTAGGGAAAAAAAATAAATGCAGTAGTCTAAAAAGTCTATATGGGCCTGATTTTTAATTAAATATTTTAATTCCTTGTGTGTTATTAAAGGATATCATTTCGATTCGAGTATTTGCGCATTGACCTGAACAGATATTGAATTTAGATATAGCCTTGTGAAATAAATCATTAAGCGTTTAATAGCCTGTCAACAGTTAAACCGAAGCACCGTGGATGAGAATACGGCCTTCGATGACCCAGTGGTTCTAAAACTTTGAGTTGATGAGGAAACTTAGTATTTTACAAAGTATTTTGAGAGATTTTGCATTTAAAATCATGTGCTAAGAATAATTCATTAGTTAAGATATATAGTCGTTCTTTATCTGATTTTTTTATTCTTCTATATATTACAAAATTTTCAAGTATATATCAATTTAATTTTATATGCAGTACACCACCGGTATTCGAACCGATAATATTTTTGTTTTTAATAAATTTGGTTCAAAATGCTCATAAGTTTAAATTATATTTTCTGGAGTCGTTTAATTTAATGGCATTTGTATATATTTACCTTTATAAAAAATTATTTCAATTCAAGCAGGGTCTTTGGCTAAATATCAAAATTAATGTAACATGCATTTTTTTATCATTGTAAAAATGTTGTTGATTAAGTTCTATGTTTATTATGTTAATTATATTCTATTAAATTTATTTATCATTTATTATATTATTTTAAAAGTAATCTGTAACAGATGAGGTGCACCTGGACGATATGGCGTTGAGCTTTCATTGTTCATTTCAATAAGTGTTCTTCATTTCGTGTTCGAACCAATCGTAAGGGTGTGTGTACTCACTATGGGGGGCCTCATGTTAACGAGGTCCATTTGAGTCCAGGACCGCATTTATGGTTCATTAAGAACCATAATAAGAAGAAAATCTTAGACATTATTCCGAAAAGTATATAAATATAATTTTAATTTGTAGTGATTTTTGTCAATCAACTTCGTTAATTTCTTCACTGACGTTCATGAAATTATATGAAATTAATGAAAAAATTATATAATTAATTAAAATACTAAATACTATTCAAATGAGCAACTCTTTAAATAGAATGAAGATTCTATTCTAAAATTCAGAGCTGAATTTCCTAACTGAAATAATCTTGAAGAAAGAGTATCAATTAAATTATTTTAATGGCCAGAAATGTTTTATTATAAAGACTGAATATTTTGCATATATTTTATATTTAAAAATATTATAACTCTCACAATATATCAATATTCAGTTTTATATTTTATAGAAATTATTTAGAAAAATACCACCGTATAGAAAAATAATATGTACCTACTATTAGTAAATCACACTAAACGTATAATCAACCGTATATATAATCAATCGAAACCTTGAGGTCTTGTTTATAAGATTATCAGCTATCAGTAATTTATATGTATCTAGTTATTGAAAGACATTAAATCAATCACCATTGATTAAAAACTACAATTATATGAACATATCCTCAAAAATCATACGTGATACATTGGCGTCATCTGCTTAAATTATGGGAAAATTTTTCAAGTATAATTTATGTGCAAATGTAATGTTTTAGAATTTCTAGTAATATAATATCTTTCCGATGTCCTTCTCTGTGGTTAAATATCGAAAAAGCTTCGAATGTTTCTCAAGCTCTCATTACGGAAACGCAATTAAATCCCAATAATGTATGCATAGGAAATGCTAATATCAACAACGATCTCAGCCACATATAATTCGTGTGTGGGTACAAATGGTTTGTTGGCGCTTTTGTTTCAAGGCAAAGTCTTCTTCCTTTTGACAATTTAATTATTTTTGTGATGCGTATTTCTAATGATTTATATGTACCGCTCGTTTGCTCGGTGATATATCGATGCACGAATGCCCAGACAACATGAACTGGCTAAGGTCGGGTTAAGGTTGGATACTTGATACTTGCATACGTTAATATTAAATCGTAAATAAATATCCAATATATGAACTCGAAAAATTGTGATTATTATTTTATTATAGAATTGTGTCAAAAAATAGTGAAACCCTTGAGTATCACCCCTACTTGTATCAGCTATACTACTATTTTTTTAAACTTCCATATTATATTGCATTTAAAAATACGTCGTTGTTAATTCTAATTTACAAAATTTCAAAATTATAAAAAAGTCACTCCAATGAGTGATTTAACAGTTCTGTTAAGGATGTGGTAATGCCAATTCTTGAATATTGCCCTTTGGAAAATTCTTTTCAAATTAGTGTCTCAATTTCAAATTTCTGCAATTATGTTCATTTTCGGAAAAAAACGTCCCGAACCGCTTCAATTCGCATAAAATCCATTTTTCCACAATATCCAAAACGTGCGTACGAGAGAATAGTATGCAAAAGCGTTGAAACGTCAAAATCAAGATTAGAAACCGAATATTCATTCGATTTCACCCCGTGACTAAGCGGAATACATATTTATTCGTCGATCGTCGGCTAAAGGCAATATGTTTTTGAATACTCACCGCCGCACGAGTCGCTTCGCGTTATCAGTGTTCCGCAGTTCTAACAACCCGCGTGGGGCGAACATAATATGTCACATGAAATACGGAACCGGAGGGACAGGACAATGCGAGGTGGTTCCTCTCTGACTGCACAATACACAGAATACACACCGAAAACGGAGAAAATATTTCTCCGAGAATCGAAAAAAGGGTTTTTTATTACAAGGGTGGGAAAAAAATCAGTTTAAAGTTTAAAGTTTGGGGTTGAATTTCTATGTTTGCATACCGTCTGTGAAATAAGTTGACTCTTACTACGTGGTTATGTTTTTCAGAATATCTTTAGTTTCTTTGATATTGAGATGTTTTTTGAACTTTTTTTTAATATGAATAATATGCACAGTTTAAGAAGCGTTTATTAATCACGTGAGCGATTTTTAAAGATTTTTAGACCGCCTCGCCCTTGATGATATTCAAAGCCAACCCCCCTCCCTCTTCAAATATCAAGTTGTGTTTTTATGCCTAGAAAAAATCATACATATTTTTCATTTTTTTGAAAATTTTTGTTTTTTTTTTGTTATCGAGGTAAAAAATAAATACACGTGATATCTTGCTAGACCTTCCCGTCTCCACGTGATATTTCATAAATTTTTGTTAAAACCATCCCCCATCCTCTAATAATATAATATATAATAATATAAATATTAAATATAATATAATAAATAAATAAAAATTAAAATAAATATAATAATAATTATAAATAAATATAAATAAATGTGATAAAATTCCAGTGGTCTAATTCTCGGATAAAATAGATTATAATAATGTGATTTTACTAATCTATATTCGTATTTGTTGGCAATATTCAACTGTCAACAAGTTATGTATTTGCTGTGATCGTAATTTGATGTAGGTGTTATCAAAAAGACATCAGAAAGTTGATAAATTTGTTATTTGACAATTGCATGTTTAAGAGATTAGGTTTTATGTGTAAAACGTCTGATCGCACAGCAAAAATACTATATAATATGTTTTTGATAGTGCCTTACTACCAACTCATACGAAGACAGACCTGTAACATATCGTTATCATAACATTTCTATTTTATCTGAGAATTAGCCCCAGAATCTGGAACAGCTAGTTTTAGGTGGAAATTTATTGTCATCAATAGTTTTAAGTAAAAATGTATGTCACTACGACGGACAACCAATTATCAAGGAGCAGTGTGATACTCATCTTTGCTTGACAATTTAGATCAAATTATATTTCCAACTGCAAATGGACCTACCTGCATTGCTGGAATTGGTTGATTAAATGATAGGTTCTGGGTAAATTCCGATAAAAAATATATCAAATAGAGATGGGCCAAACATTAGGATGTCTTCCTAAATAGCTATATGTGTAGTTAACAAGCATCATTACAACAATTGATGAACTGTGAAGGTCTAATTGCTGTTAAAAAAAAAGAACAAATAAAATAGTTTTAAGAATCTAAAAAATATTTAGCATTTGAAGGGTTCAAAAAGTTTGTTTTTGAAGTCGTAGATTCAAATCTTGGGTATTCATAGAAATCTAATGTTCAAATTCATACTATTTGTAAAATTTATCTTATACCTTTTAAAGTGATTACTTTACACCAATTGCAATTGAGCTCTAACGTTTAACAAGACCTATCATTTATTAATTTAAAAAATGCATTGTAAAAATATATTTCAAACTAAAATGCAAAATATCTGACAAAACCACATTTTCACCTTTCATCCTCCGATCATTTTCCCACTATCGCTAATTTATTTTCCAACTATCAATGACTATATCTCAAATCCAAACAGAAACTTATAATTTGCTATAAATATCCATGCAAACAATATCCAGGCATCAGTGTGCTTGCAGATACTCGCTGTTTATTTATTTAAAGTATTGAAACTTCTCTGGGACAGAGCAGAATAGGGAAAACCTTTCGAATTAAACTGTCGCCGTATGCGGACGCACGATTCCAATTGCGACGCGGCGTCATTTCTCGGCGGCATCTATCAATGTCCGAAATTCTAACCCTTACTGGGAAAAGATAAGATAAATAATAAATAATAATGGAATTTATTATTGTGATGCTCTCTTAAAATTTTGGTTAGTAGTGACATGAATTTGATTTTAAATTTAAGCTAGGTGATACCATAAAATTCAAATCCAAAGACTTAACTAATAAATCAGCATATTAACGGTGAAAAATTTTTCATGAGAAAATTGAAATAACGAAAGTCGAAATTTTTAAACGTAAATACAATTTTTCTATATCAATTTAATTGCATTGGACTAGATGACAAAGGTGGCATGACATAGATTCAGCGGATGATATTTTAACACTGATCACTGGTATAGATTCAAGTGTTTTCTTGATATTTTGTGTGTTTAATCATTTTTTATCATAAAATAATATCTTTATTATCGTTTCGATCTACCAGTTCAAAATCCAATAAACATTCGTTAATCGTCGATGCATCAATTTCAAATCTATCTTTGCCCTTCCTTCGGCCGACGCCGTTGGCCATCTGAGGGTTGGTGCTGAAGGGCGGCCGTCTGCCTCTCTCAACCCTTTTGCTTACGTCACAACGCGCTGAGATGCAAGTTTCATGATTGATGACATATGATGAAGTTACGAATACGCCGGGAATTAAATTGAGAGTTGATGTAACTATTGTTATTCCATTGTAAATTTCAATATAAAAGTCAGATTTGGCAAAGGCAGGCTCATGGGCCAAATCCAATTTTAAATTAAAGGCTATTTTAAACTGCTGACAAGATATTTTTGAAGCCAAATGTTTTTTTGTGTCTCAGGATTCAATTTTCTAGTTGAAATAAGTAATTATTTATGCTCAAAACAATTATTTCCACTTTGCACTTTCGTGCTGCAACTACTTACGTATATAATTGAAATTCAGAACAAATTTTCATGACTACAAAAAAAAATCATAAATTCAACAAATTCATGGTTCTATTTGAATGCAGAAGTACCGCTGGTTCACATACAAAATTAAACAAATATTCAAAAACTCATTAAATTATGTTCAAAACTCAAAATGATCTTATTAATGCAAATTATTACCAGCCTTCCCATTATTTTCTTGCACATACCGTTTTGTTTGGGTGTAGTGTACGATTGGATGTGCGTTTGCTGGGATTGTTTTAAAATGTGTTTTGGCGAAATGATTGATTTGATATAAAACCGAATATTTGATGAGGCACCGCTGTCTGGAATTGGTTTTTGTCCGCACTTAATAATGCAGATTCATACAACGGGCTGATGTCGGTTGCGCAAAGGGATGAGATAGGAGGTGGAGGGATGGTATATAAAATTCCATAAATTTTTGAAAGTCGGTAAACTTAGAATCCACGGTTCAGAATTGAATACAACATGGATTTGGATTTATTTGTTGATAAAGGTCTGAATTCAATCGGACGTCGATAAAAATTGTGGTAAAAAATCTGTAACTTGCTGGATTAAAAATAATATCTTCGGGCGTTTATCTTCTTAAGGGTCGTACTAGCAATTTTGTTCGTGTCTTATTACAAATTTATCAGAATCCCAGTTCGAACTATAACTACATCATACTAAATCCTTTGTTTAAAGTTTCGGAACAATTACAAATTCCTCGCCCGTTATCCGTTATCCGAAAATCATTATCAATTCGGGCGAGACATGCAAAAGGCTTAGCCATGTCCTTTTCATACAAATCCGATATATTTGTATTATAAATGAACTCTTAATCGCGCGAGCGAAGTATTTAAAGCACACATCACCAAAGTTGGTAGGTTTGGGCCAACAAACTCCGTCTGTCCTTATATTACACATCATTCGACATTACGAATGTTTGCCGAAGTTTCTGGGCGCGGGTTAATCAAAACCCGTGAGGCTGCCGACAACGACCTGTGTGTGCAGGTCTACGATCTCGCGTTTCGGGGGCTTATAAACCCATGAAGTGTGTACACGAGCACGGAGCATGTCGTTATTAATTAACAAACGACGAAATATATCAAAATTAATCCGCACCATTCACCATTCGGCGCCCCGGAGCTCTGCCTCCTACTCCGGTGCCAAACTTACTGCCAGTCTTCTCGTCTTGCATTGAATTAATCATGTTTGTTTTAACTCCTCTATGCGGATGGGCGAAGGTAACTTGAAATGTTCGGTGTATTATATGGTTTGATTAAAAGTTACTTCGGAATATGATTAACTCAATATCGAAGTCTTGATATACACGATTATTGAAGATTGAATTTGATACAATTTAAATTATACAAAATTCAAACTCCTCTACTATAATATATTATACATATGACCTACAAAATCTTCATTTTGACATCTCTGATACCTCTCTATTCAAATTATATTCGACACAAACAAATTCAATAGATTTCCTAAATGCCGAATGAAGTCCAAACATTTAACAGATCCTAATTCAGATCTAATGCGTTGTGACGACTCAGTGAGGGCGTGAGTTTCGGCTGTTCATTTATATTATATTCAACTCAGTAAATAAAGGGTTTGAATCGTACTTAGGCACAGTGAATGCTCACAGGATTATGTCAGCTGATAATAAAGCGCCAACGTAATTCATATCATTAATTCGATGCCGTGTTTAACATCTCTAGATAGAAGATAAAAATTACATCGTTATATATCTATATATGTAATATTGTATTAAATAGTGTAGTAATTTGTATTACAATTATATTTTTTTCTTTTCAGATATATCGCGTCTTGAAAAATCACCTCTCCTAGCAAATGGTTATAACGCTCCACCTACACACCTGAATCACATGCAATTCATGCAGCAGCTATCTCACCACAATTCCCATCACAATTCACACCACAATCCACATGCAGCGGCGGCTGCAGCAGCAGCAATGCTAAGTCCTCACCACAACGCCCACCACCCTGGTCACATGGGCGGCGGACCTCGTGGTGCAGCCGAAGCCCTTGCCCAGAGTGGTGCCTCTGTTCCTGGATTGCTGAAAGGACTCCCGCCAGGCGCGCCGCCAGGCTCCATGGAAGCTTTAGCCAGGTACTGGTTGATGATGCGCGCCGTTTACGAGTGTTACATGATGAACGCATTGGCCGCCGGTGGTGGCACGGCTGTGTCAGCATCCGATGCTGATACGGCCGAAAGACGGACAGATCGCGGTGTTTTAGATCTTTCGGCTTCCGAGAGAAGCGATGATCTAGATATGGAACGCGATCGCGTATCAGATAAGAGTAGTATGTTAGATGATCTCGAAGACGATGACGATGATGGTTTGAGTGATATAGACGATGGTGCATTGTCAGACGATGGTGGCATTAGCGACGGTTCGTTAATGAGTAATGGGTCACGAACACCTGATTTGTAGATTAAAAAAGTTGTAGAGCCATCGTTGACAATAGAAGTTAGATTGTAATATAGTCATATTTAATAGGCTTGCTCAATGAATATGAAATATCCGCATCACATTTTCGCGTTCATACTTTTTATTTGAGTTAAGAGTACAAAAAGTCCATCATAGTGGGCACATTGCTGCATTTTATATAAATTGCATTACAGCTGTAAATAGTAGTTAATTGATATATACAAATAAAACACTTATCATCTTTTTGCAATCAGTTTGCATACCTCAAACCATCATCTAAGTCTCGACTTGGTTTTACTGCCGAAACGAATAATTTCGGTAAATCCTGATTTAGTGTTTTGATATTGCTTAGACAGTGACATGTATATATAAGATTATTTTACCAGATTTCGAATGTTTTAATTGTATTAGCCCATGTATAAGAATAAGTGCGAATATATTACTTATTAAAATGACATTTGTATAAATAGTGAAATATATTACCGAGTGTAAATAGATTAGATAAAAAGATAGGATTTTTAATAAGTCTTGTATTTCGAGATAAAATAAAAATAATTTATACATAGTCAATAAAGCTGTAGATATGATAATTTCAAGAAATAATGAAAAAAGTAAAATAGTGTGTGCATGTATTATATTTATTAAATAAAGTAAGGACCATGAAAAATAATGGTAAAGATATTTAATGTATTTTAATTCAAAAGTGATCATGTATACTGATATCGCTTGTACTAAATTTTATTGTAAAATGATAAAGATATGATTGGAAATAAAACAAAATGAATTTTATAATTCATATATCAAAAGAAACTTTAGTATTTTTATTCCAAATTATTTTTATTTTGTATTTATTGATCAAATTCAATCGGGAATGCATGACAAGTGAAATAGTGATCAGTGAGTGGAAAAAGCAAGCAAGTGCATTTAAAATTAATAGAAATAGGCAAATAATTCTGAAATAAAATTATGTGTTCAGAATAAATTCTACATAAAATATAAACGTGAACTAGAAAGTAAATCATCGTGCTTGAATAATATTTTATATAAAACATAGTGATACAAATAACAAATAATAAAAGTAATGTCATTGTTAATAATTAATATATTGGCACTTGTTCTGATACCTTGTACTATTTTAAACTGGTTAGTATATAGTGAAATGGGTTAGTATTTACATTAAAACATTGTAAAAATTGTAACAATATAGTAGAAATAAATTTTATTATTATTAATTATATTTACAGATCCGGAATTTGGGAAAATTGTCGCGCGGCGTATGAAGATATAGTTAAACATCTAGAACGGTGAGTAACTTATAAATTTTAAGTAATTTAATTTTTATTTGTTCTATGCGAATATTTGCAAAGTACCTCAATTTTAAATTCAATCTTTAACTTATTAATGTTTTTTTAACCAAGTTACTCAAGTTGATTAATGAAAATGAATTGCAAAAAAGAAATTTGTATTATTGAGATAATTCCATCCCTGTCAAAATTCTTGTCAATCATGTTGAGATATCCGCTTATTACATTTTTTATCAATATTCAACTGATTAACTCTGTGTTATTGAATTTGTTTTGTAAGAATGTTTTGTTGAATGATCGTTTCTTAGAATCGCAGCACATTAATCAAACATAAGTTGCACAAAAATATACCCCTAATTCATTTCTCGAGAACATCATCAACTTTATTTATTTTTCATCTCTTCCTTCCGATTTGTGCTCGGCTTCTTGTACATCATTAACGAGATATCTGTCATGCACACATTAGAAAAAATCTCTTATCAGGCCCTGAAGCATTAGTGCTGGTAAATTATACTTATGGAGAGGCCGACACATTTTTACAGGAAGGGACATGTAAATATATGTTTAGTAAAATATCAAATATGGGGTCAAACGATTCAGAATGATTTGAGTAGCTGATAAAACATAAAATCAGCAAATGGCGAAAACTAGATTTGTTTTGGGAAAGTAAGTCGACAGATGATAAATTTTTTAAACATATCATTATCGAGGAAGAATGTATCAATAACGAAAAATGAAGTTTATTTTAAATTTTTCCTCAATTACAAATAATTCCTTTACCCTCCTGTGCCCATAAAAATTAAAAATCCTCACTTCGACGTGCCAAAAAGTGACTAGAATACAAAAGCAAGGACAATCCAACATTAGCACAGAGGGTGTCAGAAGTGAAAAGAGAGGATTGCATATATATTCGAATCGAAAAGTAAGTCGAACGAGCGAGCTGGAGCGATATCCATAGATACGATGATCATTAATCATATCTCGGGACGTGTCTTGTCATCTAGATGTCACCCGGTGCGGTTTCAGTCACACCCTGTGCCGACGACGCTTACGAAAGTTTGCTTTTTTAGCCACGGCCGCGGACGAGAATGACGGAATAACTATAAATCTTAGAGATATCTGAATAGAAACAAGAAATAATCGAAAATTTGGAAAAAAATAGGCCAACAGATACTAATGGGCTGTTAAATGTTTTAGCAAATTGACGGTTACTGTAAATTGTCTGTCTAACTACACGAAAAAAACTACATTTCAGAATAGAAAAGTTTTTTATTTCTCATTTTTACAATTTCTACGCTTATTATCTAAAATTGTATAATGTCAATCAACTATATCGACTAATGTATAATGCATCAAACCAGCTACACTTTTTATTTTACTCCCACTACATTATTCTAATATTTTTGTTGCTTATCTCTATATTTTCAATTCTAATATCGCTATATTTTCAATATTTTTAAACTTTCAGTATCACTAATTTTCAATATATGTATAATCTAATATGTCTATATTTCCAATATTTCTATACCTCCAATATTTCTATATTTTCAATCACTCTTTGATTTCAATATCTCTATATTTTCAACATCTCTATATTTTCAACATCTCTATATTTTCAACATCTCTATATTTTCAACATCTCTATATTTTCAACATCTCTATATTTTCAACATCTCTATACTTTCAACATCTCTATACTTTCAACATCTCTATATTTTCAACATCTCTATATTTTCAACATCTCTATATTTTCAACATCTCTATATTTTCAACATCTCTATATTTTCAACATCTCTATATTTTCAACATCTCTATATTTTCAACATCTCTATATTTTCAACATCTCTATATTTTCAACATCTCTATATTTACAATATCTTTATAATTTCAATAGTAATAGTCATAAAAATATTAATTGATAATATTAATTTTGATACGACTAAAATTTCAATCAACACAATAAAAAATGAAAAGGATTATGTAACAAACGGGGTTTTTTACTTCTTGTTAGACTATATTATATTTTGTGAATTCTTCTATGTATTTTATGCGTGTTTTTTCTTGACAAATTCTATATGTCAAAATAAATCTCAATTTAGTAAGCATATCAATCAATACTCATTGATTGACAAAAATTAATGAACCGCGACCGAATTTTCTCTTCACAGGATTTACTTCAAATAAAAACTCGAGTATATTCACACAAAGATTACCTTCTGTTTCTCTATAACGAGTTCGAATTAACGTTGAAAATAGTTTAAAGTAAATAATCAAGTCCGAACACATGTTTTGGACTAATGACTTCAAAAGCCACACCCCGTATTTCATGTCTCATTAAATAAATTAGTAATTAAAATTAATCACGTAAATAATTACTTGTTTGTCTTTAATTTTTGATGCACTTGGTAATAGACCAATACACATAAATTTGTCATCATATAAACTAATAAGTTTGACACCTACTAGGTAAAACAACACAAAAATGCAATGATATGTTACAATTAATTTCACAATTATTTTCTGTATTAAATATTGTTTCATCAATATCTCTCATAAATACGCCCTGGCATAATATTTTAATAAGCGCTTTATATTCTGCAACGATTTTATTATCTGCCCGCAAAGAATGAGATCTTTCGTAAAAAAGTAACTTATTAATAATGAATGCAGTATGGAACACAGTAGCAATGTTTTCTTTTTTTACGCTTAATAACCGTCGAAGAAAAGATAAAAAGTAATGAGCATAAACTTCATAAAATATTATATGTAGCGACGAAGTAGATAAATTCATGTTTTGTCATTGGTTATCAAACCACAGAAACATTAAAAAAGTTTTTATTTATGCGTTTTTGAACTGAAAAACTGCAATTAAAATACATACAGGTTTGCGATAGATAATGGAATCTTGGTGTAAGTTGTAATTTGCCTTGGCAAGTCTGGAAAATATATCAACTTTTTCGGGAAGTTTAATACGATCTTACAAAGTAATATATGTTCAATTTTAACATTTTTAAAAGCAATATGTGCGCAATTTTTTTTTATAAATCCATATTTCCAATTCATTCATCTCCAATTTTGGTCCCTTGATTTTTACCCCCGAACATAAGCGTAGTTAATCGTTCTCCGTGGAAAATAAACGGCCTGAGCTTTAATTCTGTAGCAGTATCATCGCATAAAGCATACGAAATCCAACACGTATTGACACGAGTTTGTGAAACATTTAAATCTCTCGGATTTAAAACAAAAACAGTCCACGAGTTTCCCGTCCTCATCCTCTTGTCGTCTAATCCTGCGGAATGATCGATCTTCGAGTGTCGCATAGGATGATGTGTGTTTCCATTTTATGGGATCACTTGGAATCAAACACATTTTGCATACCTAGATCAAACCGGTATTAAATACTAAAAACATGGCTTTGGACGTGATTGAAAAATATAATGGGATGCGAGTCGAACTTACTCCATTACAATGCGATTCAATTATTGATTTAAGGGCTCATAGAAATGATCACAGATTTGCAATTTTTTTTTCAAAAATACTACCAATTATAATTTAGCCAGATAGACATATTCGAAGACAAAATTAGTTTCATTTAATTTCATATGAAGTCCTTAAAATAGAGATTTTAAAAATCCTGCCTGTAATATTTTCTATGAATGATCAACGTCAGAGATTTTACTATCAAAAGTTTTGATGCATTTCTTCATTAGCAAATAAAATACCGATATGCAGACAAATAGGTTTTACCTGTGATAATTCATCCTGAGCTACTCCGTTCCCCAGCATCAATTACCTCTGCGTCGAATAATTCAGAGATTTCGCGATCCCGTGTTTTGATGCGTTATTTGATATAGTATTATTAGATTCGATACAGAGTATATTGGACCTCGGACACAATAGGAGTTCGGAACATTAATGTACTGATCATAAATAAAAGCGAGAACAAAGCTTATATGACGCCACTATACCTACGTCGCGCGCTTTCCAAATGGACCGATGAACGTTCCGTACTGAAAACAATATGATATTGCTTACCCATATGGCGGTGATATTTTAGCACAACTATCTAAATGAACATAAAGACGAATAAATTCTCTATCGAACATTTCACGTGAGTCATAGTAATAGAATATTCACTGATACAACACTAATCATAAACTGTAAAGTACTAATACTTAATTTTGCTCCCTCTAAAAATTAGACTAAACAACAAATTGACTTTAGATTTGATGTAAAATATTGTTCCAATTTGTTATTGAAGCAATTTCTACCATTTCTTTTTTTGCTTCATTATTTCTTTTAAAGTATTTGTCCTAAATCAAGTGGAACTATAATCTTGTCAACTATCGTCATCGGATCTGGAACTAGAAGTTACACTTCTAAGTCTTGAGTTTGAACTGACAATTGTGTCAAGTAATGCTCCAGAGCCTTTAAACTCATCTGGATCTTCTTCAGCCTTTTTATTTGCGGCGTCTGATATTAAAGTACATAAACCTATAGACTGGTCGGCAGCGCCCTCTCAATCCAACTCCGATTTTCTCTTTCGAGAATCTGAAATTGTGGTAACTTTCATCACCATTTCGAGATGTCCCAGGACCATCATTCTTGTCCACAAATGATTGCCAAATGCCAGTTAATAGCATAGAAGAGTTAGAGAGGGTTTCATTATTTATGCCTAAAGATTTAGAACTTATAGAGTTCTGCCAATTACTTTGTTTAAAAAATTCTATGCTAGGTAGAGGACTCGCTCGTAGGTAAGTGGCTGGAACTATTTGACCAGAACTAGAAATCGATCCATAAACAGTAGTGGCTTCTGATATCACTTGGAAATATAGATTGCAATATGTTTTCAAGTGTAAATAACCCTGATTCGGCATTGTTGCATCAAAAAACCTTCACCCTATTACAGAAATTGTGATAATTCATCACACAGCATTAAGTCAAATTAACTTGTATGACTCTTATCTACTGATCGCTGTGCAAAAAAGATAGGTAGATAC